CATAGGACCAATCATTCTATTTATCCTGTTATCGATTTTTTCTGTTATCGACTAGTTCTTATCATTCTGATATATTTTACAAGCAAAATTGTCAAACCAGTCTTTTTAGTGATTTTAAGTCATTTTTACTTGTTTTGCCGCATAACGTCATGCGTTCTTTTTCAAGACGTCATCATATGACGTCACAGTACCAATGTTGAAATTTAGTTCCGTAAAATTTTTCGAATTTGTTACATTTTCACACAATGTATGCAGTCATTTACTTGCTTCTCCTATAGAAGCAAAATTTACGTACATGACAGAATTTATTCCTGTTGATAATTCAATTTAGTGTTGTTTTTTTATTCATCAGAACAGCTCATGCCTTAGATTGGTAAAATAAGAACCATAAGGAATAGAAAATTGACAATATTTTACAAAATCTTTTAGAAATGTGTAATCATATGAAAAAGAAACATTTTAAGTGTGTGTGTTTTTTGTTTTGTTTTTTTTTTAATTCTTATGTACTAAATAGTTGAAATGATTCTGAAAAATCCTTTAAATAAGTTTTAAAAAAGAATTTTCAGGATAAAATTATGAATTTTGGCCAGTTTTTTTTTTTCATTTATAATAGACCTAAATTTGGCTATTTGAAAACTATATATAGATGCAAAAAAGTAGGAAGAATGTTAATCTTTTAATAACAAGCCATGGTTAGTAAGTTTTAAGCTCTTGTAGTTTAATTGTCAAAATGCCTCTTTATTGTATCACATACATAAGAGGAGTTCTGAGTTCAAATCTCAGCAAGAGTTCTTATTTGCTGATTCATGGTTTGTAAAATTAAAATAGGGCTATGAATTTTTATGTCTATATTAAAGTTTTTGTTTTTATAAGTCATTGTTTTTATTTGACAGTTATTAAAATCAAGGTTTTTTAAACTTGATTAGAACTCTGACAGTATGATTAAAAAAAAAACTATTCTTATTTAATGAAATTTTCCGAGAATCTATCATAGTATAAAGCGACTTGACGAGTAAAATATCACTTGCCACAATGTCCAAGCGTAAATAGTGTTTGACAAATGGTAAAATGTACTAAATTTTCTGTGCGTTTTCTAATTTTGACATCTGCTTACTCAACTGCCGGCATATAATATGATAATATCTGCTAATCGTGAAATTCGCTCATATCTAACACCCGACCGCGGATCGGCAAACCTGTGAGGAATACTAAATGATCAAGGAGTACTATACGAATGCTAAATGCAAGATTTCAAAATGGCCCAAAACATTTCCCATTTCGAATAAGACCAAGCTTGTCTGTCGATTTTCGTGTTGACCGTGCATTTCATACTGTGCATGTTTTTCACGTATTTGCCGTTTCTGTTAAAATGAAATTTTTGTCTTGATATTCAATCAATATTTCAAGTTTGAAATGAATATTTGTGATGGTTTTGGGGAAAAATATAAAAAGGGAGAAATGCCTTTCAAGATCATCTTAATTCCTTTAGAAATGCATTTTACTTTTATATAAAATAAGTATTTTATGTTTTAAGTGAATATGTTTGAATTTTTGAGCAATAAGCCGTAACCAAAAGGTTAATCAAGGCGAAAACATAATCGAAAACATAACCAAAAAGGTTAACCAACGCCGACACGTTTAGCTTTTCATTAATGAAAAAAAATCATTTCTCGGGAGTAAATAGTTAGCTGTCATTTGGTCACGGAGGCCCCTCATACCTTTTGATATAAATGCAAATATTGTGTTAAACAATAGCTGAAAGTAATGACATATGATATACAATCATATCAAACATCAAACACATATCAGTTTCCGCCGCCTAATTCCCTTAAGTATGCAAGTCATAAGTGATTGCATTTGGAAACCCGTTGAACATTTCAAAACAAGGCAATGTCAAAACCCAAGTTAACCATTTTTTACGTCCCCGCGAGGGGTTTGACATTATCGGAAGATAGATAACAACCGCATGTACATTAATTATTAGAGCAACCTGATTAATAAAATCAGCTCCTAACTAACGATACGCTACAAGTAAACATAAGATTTGAACTTTTATCATGTTGAAATTAACTGTACATTGTAGTCTATTAAATTTAAATGCATTGGCTGCGGTTGTATTAACAAACATATTAGCGAAACAAAGTAACCACAATTAAATGATATCATATTCGACATTCAAGTATAATCTTTCATAAGCATCAGCTTAATTGTTATGTCACTGGTTTACTGTATGAAAATTGTTTGGTCTTTGGGCCCCGGATCAGTGGGTTTGAGTGCTATATTTTCCTTGAATACTTAAGTTGTTCAGATGTGTGTTGAGGAACATCAGTCATTGATAAAATAGAGAAAAAAAGAACCCCTAAAGAAAGTCCAAAACGGCAAAATTGAAAATGTTGCAGGTTCCGTTTGATAAAGCCCAAATTAACACTGTCCCGGTAATGGCCACGGTATCGCTACTGTGTCTTAAGCTGGTGAACCGAGGTGTTCCGTGGTGTTTTTCTGAGAAATCAAATTGCGTTTACACATCCCCGACAGAGCCCAGGTGTATTCCCGGTTCAGAACCCGATATAGCACCGGATATATACGATAAGCGCCGATGCTAAATCGGTGTATTCCCGCTTGATTCCGGTGGAAACCCGACTAGACACGGTTTCATCACGGTCCATCCCGACCATCGCCGTTTTTGCCACGGTAATGCTATTGGTGATGCCGGTACTGTGCCGGTGACGCCCTAGTAATGCACCGATGCTTCCTGTTCAAGTTTATGAGAATAAAACTGACTGACCACGTTGACATCAGTCATTTGGTAAAAAGACAGCAGAGATGCCATCCGAAGGAAAGGGGATGGAAGTTAGAAAAAAACTGTGTCTACAACACCTTCAGAGGTTGAGGTACCTGAAGCTGAAAATGCACCAGCTGAAGAATTTTTCCTTCTCTCATTTAACAAATTGTCCATGCTCGTGTTCCTTCTCTAAACAAAATGATCCAAAGTAGCACTTCAAGTTTATATATTCCTGTTCTTTAAATTTCCTGTATCGGCATGAGGTCGTTACACCACCGTCTATCATCGTTGTATAACCGTACTTGTCTGCAATATCCGGGACATTACCGGCTCCAACCGGAGCGTTGTTGCCAGTGACCTCAATGTACCCTGGCTCTACCGTAGCTCTGCCTGTTTTACCGTGGCAACATCGTGTCATCACCGGGACTTTGCCGTTTGGACATTGATTGACACGCATCCCGGTTTACTACGATTTGTCACGGTATGGATGCAGTATAGATACGGTGGTTTCCCGGCAATTCCCTGTTCCAAGCCGATAGAACACGGATTTGGGCTTCCTCTCGGTGAGTGCCGGTGAGCCCCGGTTGTATTAAACATTTGAAGACAACCGTGGTGATCTCTCAGTTTGTTCCGGTTCACCATGGTTTGTCCCTTTACTTCACGGAATTTCAACGACCCAACGCCGGTTTACCACGGTTGATCATGGTTGACTTAACCGTGGCAAACCGGGACACCAAACTGGGACTGTGTAAATGGGGCTTAAACCGCCCTAGTATGACTGTATTACTATTAGTACTAGCAAGAAAAAAGGTCTTCAAATCAATGAAATTACTTAAACCGAATTCTGATCGCGACAATATCATAATACTTTTAAGATGTTGTCAATCAGGGTTATAAATGAAAAAGGGAGACAAAAGAAAAATACTTATCTATTGAGACTTGAATTTCAGTTGTATCTTTCTAGAATACGCTTTCTAGCGTCAATATTACATTATATAGCAGCTCAAATCCTCGATATTTAGGTTCATAAAAAAAATTAAAACAAAGATACTTTTTGTTAAATGGCAATTACAGTAAAAATAACTATGAGAGCGTTTTAAATTAAAATACTACTACTTTTAATCATGATTTTAACATGTATTTGTATCTTGAGACATTTAACGGTAGTGTTGCGACATTTAACGGTAGCGGAAATTCGTGCGACATTTAACCAAACTCCGCGCACCGGTTACGCTACGGCCAGTAATCTAATCCTGTAAGGGGAGATCACTGCGTAGGAGATTGACATTTAACGTTAACATTGCGACATTTAACGGCAAATGATTTTGCGACATTTAGCGGCAGTTTCGAGATTTAGCGGTATTGATGCGACATTTAGCGGTGAGTGCGACATTTACTGCGTTGCGACATATAACGGCGCCACATAGTGACCAAGCTTTACAAGGATAAGTAAGTTTGGATTTAAAAAAGAAAGACTTTTCCCCACTCGTTTTACCAGAGACAAATAATCTGATGATAATAAGGTGATCGGTGAAAACAACAACAACAAAAATAAATACATTAAAATAAATTATCCGGTTTTTGACTGTCCTACTACGAAAATATTCATGGGGTATGTTATGTCAATTGTTTATTGTTCCTTAAAGCATTTTTATGCTTAATTTCTAAATATATGTTGTTGTTGTTGTTGTTGAATTTATCTCTATTACACCTAATATTTTCGGAGAAGATCTGTTATTGTTACTGTGGGCGTTATGTCTTGGGATATTTTTTTAAAGACATTTTCACATAAACCTTAATGCAAACAGTAAATCCTTACCAATATAAAACACTTACTGTCTCATTTTAACATGATGTTTAATAATGGATCTTTTGATCCACACTCATATCATTTTAACTACATTTGAGCCGCGTCACGACAAAACCAACATAGTGGGTTTGCGACCAGCATGGATCCAGACCAGTCTGCGCAGTCTGATCAGGATCCATGCTTTTTCGCTTACCAACTCTATTACAAGTAGAGAAACTGATAGCGAACAGCATGGATCCTGATCAGACTGCGCGGATGCGCAGGCTGGTCTGGATCCATGCTGGTCGCAAACCCATTATGTTGGTTTTGTCATGACGCGGCTCAATTTTGTAATTTAGAAAAAAAGATAGACATGATGAACAATAAAACCTAGTCGGAAGAGGCAACTCTAAGAAACTGAAGAGACTCTTCAAACTCGCAACATTCGTTTATTAAAAAATAACATTTCATACATTGTATGATATTACAAGTTATAAATAACAACTACTTAACAACTTAATAACTTATTTGAAAACTCAAATAGTGTAAATATAAGAGTTACAAAATAGTGTATGTGCCAACCATGCCGTCACGTGTATGCTCACCCACGTGACAATGGAACAGCCATGTACCAGGATTTGTAGCAAACATTTCAACAGTTTCGTAAGTTCCGGGAAACACCTCAATAACATCTCCTTCGTGCGTCTGTCCGGTACGGTATGTGTACGTCTGTCCGTGAAAATGTACGGTGTGAATATCCTCATTTACTCCCAGTCCTAGTATATACCATGCTATATTGTCACCTCTATTTGCAACTAAACCTTCAACATTGTTATATATCAGTCCATTTATAGAATCATACTTATTGCTTTCCACGAAATCATCTGTACTGGTATCTGCTGATGGGCAATTTTCTAAAACATTCTGAGCCAAATACCAGCTTCTATTTTCATCAAACGCTTGAAACAGAAGAGCAAATTCTTTTTCTACCGAGTCAGTTCTTTTCCCGTGTACATCTAAGACTCCACTTCGACACACGACTATTGGCCCGACGAGACCAGAGTACGTGTCTTTCACCGGATCGACCGCGGAATGATACATGTAATTTATACAGTTTGGTCCATTCGCACCCGGACCTGAAGTTTCCGGTACCTCCCAGCGATATGTGAACGTTGATCCCGGTGGAACACCGTCACCAATTTTCACCGGCGTTCCATCTTCGTATTTCATTCCTTCGTAAGTTTTATTGTACCTGAGTCCTTGCGCATGCATGGAATATTTTCTTGTCGCCATATTTTTAAAAACGACTTCAATAACATCACCGACGCCGGCTTTAATGAAAGGTCCAATCACACCTAGGTGCCAGCGTTCCGCAGTTACCGGTTTTTCTTGAGTAAAGGTGGCGTCCGTATATTCACGGTACAGGGCCTTCGTATATACACTACCAACGTATATGCCATCTTTTTGGATTCGATTATATTGTGGACTGAAAATATACAGAGTCTTGAAAAAAACAAAGAAAAAACAAAAACAAAAAACACTAGCAATGGAGGTTTATTATAACACTGAGCAAAATTATATTCCATTTTAAACATATGGCAATCAATTCAATACTCTAACATATTATTTCTAAGAGGCTATTAAAAAATTATATAAAATAATCCATCTATCATTAGTTTTGAGTTACGTCAGCTGCATTCGGCATTTTCTGTATGAGAGCACGAAATTGGCTGTGTATGTTTTGGTCATATTTAAGCTAATTCCGTATTTTAATTCTAACGGAAAAAAAATTCATTATCGTAAAATCTTAGATAACCGTAGAAATAGTTTATAAAAAATTACTAACTTGGAGGGATCACTGTAGTTTTCTCCGGTCAGTGGATGGATGGTTTTGGGCGAGTAGTTCCATTTTTGTTCTACTGCCGCGATATAGTAACGTCTGGTTATCCCGCTCTGTTGGTAGAAGTTTGTGGTAGATTTTCCACAGGCGTCCACATGATACATCACCTTCATACCTTCATTATAATGGTTGTCGTTGTGACAGTGTATAGACCAGTTTCCTGTTAATATAATTGTATAAAATAAGTAAACAAAACATTAAAAAACCGTGATTTCTTAAGAACACACTCGTTTACTCTACAATGTATTAGGCCTTAAATAAAAAGTTGTTTCTTTCCCCCTCTGCCATCCAAACCACAAAACTCTCAGCTACCCCCCCCCCCCCCAATAATTATTTTTCCAATTTGTTTTATACTATTTTACTATACATGGGTGCAGAGGCTGTCAATGAGAATCACATTTTTATATCTGTCCGATGGTTTTTTAATTGTAAATATACAAACTGGGATATATATTGAATTTAACTTTGAAACTTTGGTTCTAAACAGAAGCTAAGCATTCACAATTTGTCTTGAATTCAATATAGTTTTACAAGGAAAAATATTTTGAATAAAATTTATTTTACCTACCTACCTACCCTGCCAAAACTGGCATGAGTCGCAGGACGGAAAACAAAGATAATTTTAAAGCAGGCCTTATATTGAGTTTTTTCCGACTATACTTTTTTTATTTATTATAAATTAGTAGTCGTTGTATAAAACCTTTGGCAATAGGGTTATAAATGACAATACGATAGTGGTTAATCTGGTGATATATTTACGAACAAACGTATCATTCAACATACAGCTGCCAAGGACAAAAAATCATTTCTCCCGCAGTCTTAAAATAATTAAAGAGCTTACAGACGTTTCATTTTGAAAATGTTAAAATCATGTTTTGTCGCACAACGAACAGTTCATGAAACATGACAATGTTATAGCAATACTGATAATAGACGTAAGTTGTATCATTCATGTCAAGGTGTTGTGTAACGTGAGTTACTGTCCTCGAATGACCTTCATATCTATAACGTCCTCTGCGCGCATTTCATGTTTCATAATAAAATGATAATAAAATTAACCTTCAAGCTACATACCGACATTGCTGGGTTTCATCATACCACTAAAACCAACACCTGATATGATAACGTGTGAGTCACGATAAACGCCGTCTATAAGTACGTTATTGCCATTAAATGTAACGCCATGATTTCCTTCCGTCTGGCCAAAACTAACGATATGCCATACTACCTTTTCATCTTTACAGACTTCTAGACCATCTAAGTTACCATAGGCTCTCCCGTTTATAGCTGAAACAAGATGTAAACAAATAAAGTTTCATAAACGTCATTGCAAACTTTTTAACTTTGCTTCCTTATACCACTGTTTACCAAATGTAAATAATTTTATCCTTCAACTCTCATTGTTGATGTCCTGCATAGACATATTTTCTGCTTTCTTGAGGGTATAGTTTGTAGAGAGTTGTTCAAAAATTGTCTTTACGTGAATATACAAATACAAATGTATTCAAATATAAGACTAGAATAACACATAAACGGACAATGCTTTGCGATCGTTGTTAGAATTATTAAAATACTATGTTGCGTAAAAATGTACTTTGCATGTTTGCAACGTCAATTTTCATTGGATAATCATGACGTGTATTATTATCAATATACACGAGTGCATCGATAAACACGACTGCAGCCAACTTAACAATCTACTATTTTTTTCTAAATCAAACAAAACAATTTTTCAGTTTTATAAATTCGTTATAAAAAGTTTTGACATGTGATATAGTAAACGTATCTCTTAATTAATTTTACTTTTATGCATAAGATTTCAGCATGTTATTCAGATTTGAAAATATAATCTACATTTAATTAGTATAATTTGTATACATTGACTTTATATAGAAGTTGACAGATACTACTTACCTCTCATTACATTTGATTCAACAAAGTCCTCGTCTGATGTGTCGACTGTATCTTTGATATAAGTGTTTATATTATCATCGATATACCAGGAGAAGTTTTCATCAATACTTGAGATATACAAAAACATCTCACGATCCACGTATTTCTGAAACAAAAACATTTGCAATATAACAATTATAACAATTTCTAATCTGCTTGAATCTTAAAAAGAAACGAATGAATATTTACGTCTTTAGAAAGGAGAAACATGAATTTTATAACATTTAAATAATGGTTTTAGAGCCAGTTAAATGCTTGTGACCAAAAGAAAGTATTATAAATGTAAAATAATATAACAAAAGTATCAAAATGTAAACAAAGTAGTATTTTGACTTTCAAACATTTTGGAAACTATAAATGTATACCAAAAATAAAAAGCTTTTGAGAAATATAAAGAATAGCTTTTCTGAGGCATAATGGGCTTTAAAAAAAGACTGCACTGTATTTTTTTTAATTGTTGGCCCTAAAAGAAAACTCCTCGCGTTTATGAATTATCAACGATCCCATATAAATCAAACCAATTATTCCAATGTAATGTATTTCTCTGACGTGAAATTTCTCATTTACTACTCAGTGAATTAATGTCTGCGACAGACGATCTTTCATTTTCGACACATTTTCAAGTGTGCTTACATATATAACCACCTCTTTTACTCAGGGCAAAAACTTGGGATGAATTCATGAACAATAGCATATTTCAACGATAAGGTAACACTGAACATATAATTATTTTTTTTTTGAAAATTTATGAACTTTCAACAATGTGACAGTTTCGTTCTTGAAATATTTTTGACATTTAAATTAAAGCTTTAAAAAGAATGATAAAGATTTGCGAGAGAACAAAAAATCACCATACCTGTCTACCAGAGTAGGAATCTAAGGATCCCTGCTTGCAAATAAGAAGGGGACCAATCAGTCCGGAACTGACGTCACGTTCCATGTCATAACTTGAGTAATATATGAAGGTTAGACAATCCGGGTCATCTGTGCCCGGGGCTAGAGCCCATGGGACAGTAAATACATACGATCCAATATTGCCAGATGTAACCACATGACCAATGCCTTTATTAGCTAAAATGAAAATTATTTGCATGTTAGCAAATTTTATCTCCCGTGACCACAAATATCTTTAGGATGCATTTTAGGTTGGAACATTATCCTTCGCCAGTCATACATGTTAGGCTGACAATAATCTAGCAGGATAGTATTGTCACTATTGTGTATTGGATCCCTTAACAACTTTTATAAGTGTGTAATACAGTATGTTGAAAGTTTTCGAATTTTGCTTATGTGATGCAAAAACAATGTTATCCAGTCAAATTAAATAAACCTAAATAAATATGAATAGAAAAAAAGATATTAATAAACAATCGAATATGCATAAAACTACATTTTAAGCTTAAATTAAAAAAAAAACAACAAAAAAACCAAACATTTTTATAAACCTCAATAGGTCATATTTTGATTCAATCACAATAGGTTTCGAGCATTTGCGTTTATTTATTTCTATATATATAAAGTTTGAATATGGGCCACTTTGGTTTTATAAACTATATCAACGTCATATACATACATTTTGAATTCTTCAGTCTTAGTGGCTATAAGAATTGTAATCTATGTTTCAAGGTTGAGAAAAAATTCTCTGAAATAAAACATTGTGGTCTTCTTGTACTTTCATGGCTGTGTCGATTTCAAATTTAATGATATAAAAATAAAGTAAAACATACTGAATGCTTGTTTTATCCATTGTCCATTTTGTGTGCTGTTTAGGCTAGTTCCCTGTAAATATATTGATACCGGCTTCGGAGTGAGGTTTATTAATAGCACTTGTATTGTATCACCTACTTCCGCTCGTATGACAGGTCCCAGAATTCCAAGGTGCTCCTCGCGCTTTGAGCGATTCATTTTTTCCCCGTACTGCACATCTGTATACTCATGGAACCTGGCCTTCTTGTATTTCCGTCCAATAAGCTTCTTTCCGTTTACATTCGTAGAATAATAGAGTTCTGATTCACTGAAAAATAATTTGACATCAAGCAATTTTTACAAAAATGGTCATCAATATATCTTAAAAAAACCCATATTTTTTTGGCATTTAACTTAAAGTTCTTCTTTCTTCACGAGCGCAATATGGTTTTACTTCAATGAAGTCCATACGGACAGGAACTTCTCATGAGTAAAATAAATTAATGCATAAACATGCAAAAGATGAAGAGACAAAATAAGGTTTTAAAATGTAAGAGAATATAGAACCGAAGTGGATTCAGTTCCATTTGCAAATACTCATAATAACACTCATCTCATGTTAAACTAATTAGCAAATACTTTGACCGAATCACGAGAATAAATTAATTATTCCTTATATTAGACTCTTGCAGTGTTTAGTTTTCTTCATGGTATTTTGAATTTCCGACATACCCAAAAATCGATTTCTTCACCTATAGGTCAATAGATCAATTAACATGCTCTCTGTGTAATGAAAATAAGAAGTGATTGATAATTGTTTTGTAAGTAACTATTGTACACGCTAACCTTCCTGGTTCTGTGAGATCTTTGCCGTCGTAAAGATTCATACCGGAAGGGGCGTAGTCCCATTCCTCGAGTTCTGCAGCGAGGTAATAGTGCCGGATGTTACCACTGAGCTGGTCCTGTACAGGGGTTTTACTATAACATGACTTGACTGTAAAAAATACTTCCATTCCATCTGTAAAAATTTATTAAGATTGTCACTATTGTACATTGTATACTCATTGGCTTTTTGCATGTAAATAGAAGTTTATATGTACTGTGTATATAAGCTGAGTATATAAGCTTGACAATGAACTTATCAGCATACATACTTATTGCTGCAATTAACCAAGCTGGTTTCCTTGTATATGTATATGAATGCACAGAGTTATTTAAAGGAACTCCACTGAATAATTTTGACATGAAGGGACTGGTAATATAATTCCGAGATTTGTGTACAAACTGATGAAGGTCTGAACATATAACTTGTGTACAACTTAACAGATCATTTCCTCATCCAGTGTTTCCAGAATAATCATTTTTATTTATTTTATTCACATTTTTCAATTTTAAATGCTTCACTTGATTTATTCAAGAATTTCAAATTTTATGTTTTTTGACTTTTTGACCTCAGTGAAGCATCTTTAATTTTAGATACTGAGATATATACGTCACTCTAAATAATGAAAATAACTTACTTCGGTTATGTTCTGAGTTCATGCACTGAATGAGCCAACTTCCTGGGTTTCTAGCGACCATTTCGGCTGCTCGAAATGTAGCAGACCAAATACTGACAACACTTTTCCTGTAAAAAAGAATACCTTTATCATTTTTAACATTGAAATGAAATGTTTTTGAAATAGCAAAGTTTCCTAATCCTTGATGATAAATTTTTTTTAAAGGCCCATTATGTCTCAGACTCAGAAAGTGTTAAGAATTCAATGTCAAATTATTGTCAAGTGTACAAATAAATTCATCTGAACAAGTTGAGATTAAAATATGGTATTAATTAAAATAGGAAATTTATACATATATTGAATTTTCATGTATATGGATAAGCGTCCTACTTCATGGATTTTGAATTTTTTCATATTTCTATTACTCTCAACATATATTTCTTAGGTTTAATTGTTTGAAATTTAATATCTCATCTGTTAGGATATAACATGGCCCTGTGTGCAAATGCAACATACACTAGTCAATGATTGAATGGAAAATGTGTTTAAACCATACCTTTGATGGTTTTCGATAAACGTTTGTCCCATGATATTAACAGGGTGGAGTTCGGCACTTAGTGAGAAGATATACCATGCAATCTTGTCCCCGTTGCAAGCACTCAACCCCGGCATATTTCCATACATGAACCCTGTAGAAATATTTTAAATGTTGGAAGCTTACCATGAAACAAGAATTTGCAAAACCGGACGTTATTGGCGATTAATATACATTACCGGTGAAAAATATCTAAGGCTAAAAATACAAAAATACAGCTTCTATGGCGAAGAAAGTACACTGGGTAAAAATATTTATTTTTAAAAAATTATTATTATCAAGAACCTAATAACATAGCTTTCTTGAGTGATCGCGGAATTGAATTTTGAAAAAATTCGTCTTTGTTAATTACTGCTTATTTGTTGTGTTTAAGATATCAATTAACTAAATGAAGCTCATAAATTTAAAGGACATAAGATGATAGTGAATTACCATTTATGGAATCCTTCTTTAAACTCTCTTCAAAATCAGGATCAGCCGCATCTAATAGACGCTTGCATTCTGCAGGATCCTGACAGCGCCTAAGGTTCTCGTCAAGTAACCATGATTCGCCTTCGTTAATAGAATCAAAGTACAGCATAAACTCTTTGTCCACGTCTGTTCGCTCGTGATTGCTATTTAAAATTCCTGAAGAAAGACAAACATACATAAGCAAAAATGATAACAGGTGAATGATTTTGTATCTAATAAACAATGAATACTCTTATTATTTTGAAAGAATCTCAAATAAATAACTAGTATTTCGTTGGAGATTCATACCTTGTTTACAAACAATGACAAGACCCAGAAGTCCTGCGTTAACTTCCCGGTCAGGGTCCACGTGCGAGTGATAGGCGAATGGTATACAGTTAGGATCATCGTCACGTGGTGCAAAGTCAGACGTCAATTTCCACGTGAGTGTTATATTACTTCCGGGCAATGTTCCATCATCAATGTGCTCTGTTTGATTGGTATTGTCAGTATATAAAGCACCTTCAAATAATGAAATAAATGTAAATAATTATGTGTTACATAATATCAAGTACAAGCATATACTAGAAAGTAATTTTAATTATGATTCTTCTTTTCATTTTTATCAGACACTGTTTAATAATATGTTTTACAATACACATTTAACGTGGAAATAAATTCGGGTATAGTAAATACACCTGAATAGTGAATACACTTCAACAAATACAAATTTAATCATATGAAACTTACCGAAATTGTACTCAATTACATTAGTTTAAATTTTTATATATTTCTAAATTATTACTTTACATTGTCAGTTTAAAATTAATAAAAAATCTACCTTCATTAACTTTGTTATATCGGACGCCATGTGGATGTACAGACACCGGTCTATCCACTGTGTTCCGGAAGTGAACTCGAATGACCTCCCCTACCTCACCGTGTAGAAGTGGTCCAACATAACCAAAAGACGGATGTGACGGAATCTCTTGCGTGTAGGTGTCGTCTGTATAACGTTTGTAAACATATTTACTGTATATACTCCCTACCCTGTCAGGTCCGTTGACCAAGGTGTCGTTAAGATAACTGATAGCAAGTATAAATACAATTGATCGTTAACTACTGGCAGCAAATTTAATCAAAATGTTATGTATAAAAAAGATAGACATCCGATATAGGAAGTACCAAGATTACAATAATTATACAGAACATCTTAAAATTCTCTTTGAACTTATTTTCACGTCAAAAACTACCAAACAAACCTAATGAAGAAAGCTTCTTGAATTATGTGGTATACCGTCATATGTTATAATTGTGATTTTAACTGACACACGTATCTCACTTTGATCATATCAAACAAAACAAACAGCTATACAACAAATTATACAACAAACTATACGAGAAATTTCAATTCAGTATAAAGAAAATAACAACAACAACAACAACAACTGGAATAAATATATAAAAATAAATAAATAAAGAAATAAATAAAAACCGCACACAACAAAAACATATATACAAAATATAAACGACTAAAACAACAAAACACCCTGGTTTCACCTAAATTACTTGTCAATTTTTATCATTTTATCTACGTAATGTATACATGTTATTTGACATTTATTTAATTCTTAAAAAAAGAACAAAAATATAACATAAAGAGTTCTGGACTTACTCATCATAGAAGTTGACAAGATTCTGATGGTACGGTAAATAGTCCCAGTCTGTTTTCTCCGCCTGTAGATAATAGTTGCGGACGTTCCTCACCTCAAACCCGTCTGTTCTCTGTCCGGGTACTATAAACGCAAAGTTAACATTGACTAGCAGACACAATAAACTTAAAACATGTACCGCTTCCATAATTAATAAAATGTCTCTAGCTTCTAATGCGGTTTATTCGATATCTTATACAATAATAACCGGAATAATAAAATGCTCTGATATCACTGAAATTGAGGGGCGATTAAATTGTTCATCTGAATTTAAAATTACTTTAAGTACTCGTGCACTTAAATAAAGAGGCAGCTTAGTCTTTTTTACGATGTAATATTTAAGATATATAGTTAATTAAACAAGATTTCGTATATTTATGGTGGCCCAAGGTGACATTTGTGATGTTATCGATCTCGTGCGCATGAGACAAATGTCGTGATTATTCTATAATTTTAAAGAAAAACTTAGAATAACTTAGAAACTACAATAAAAGCAATTGATATGGTTTTATTTTCTTTGATAATTTATATTTTACACATTAAGCAATGCAATTCCAAATTTATTCAACCTATCACAAATCTTGGATGGAGGATATTTGCAATATTAATACCGTTTAGAAAATCTTAATTATCGCCTGTATTCAACCATAATACTTTATAATAACAGAGAATGCAGGAAATATTTTTAGAAAATTTTGATTATCCCTCAAATAATTTATATAAACGACACGTGTTCAGGACAACATAATGAAATGGGAAATATGTAATCAAATTTATCATACCGGGATTAAGAAGGAACTTCTTCTTACATTACTTTATCATGAACCCGGGTATTACATAACAGGAGTTTAGTAAGTGCTGTTGATGTGTTTGAAGAGGTGCACGAGGAGGTGACATGCAAGCTCAGTTTCAATGCTAACAAAACAAAAATCCAACCTTCCCACTATATAACATGGTGCAGTTGCTATGTTTGAAGAAGTACACATGAACTCTGTTTCAATGCACCAACATTTTGTCTTACAGAACAAATTTAACCTTTCCACTATAAAGTGTCATTAATGATTAACATGGTGAGAGCTTATATCATACGATTGTCGAATTATATAGCAACAGGGATTTTCAGTGACGGATGAAAACATTTGCTACATCATAACAGAATCGATCCGAATAGACTATAGATATGATGGAATTTCAGTCTTGAAACATATACAGGCCAATTAAGTTCAAATAGCAGAAGATACTTGTAAAGATTAGCGTTGTTAACAAGTGTCGTTATGAATTTTAATGATAGCACACTTGAAATAATTCATTTCACAATATCTCATATATATTCTTAAAGCAGCATGCCTCCAGATATCTGCCAATTTTCATGAAAATTTTGAAAATGAATCAAAAAGTGAAATATTGTAAAGAGAACAAAGAAAATCTTAATACATTGCAAACGGCATTTATAACTAATGTAAATTACCAAAAAATAGGTCAATATATGCATAAATAGCCCTTACAGCGTTAGTAACGCAGTAGAAATATGATGGTAAATATTTTAAAATCAGTCATTAATCGTACATGACATGTAAATTTTTACTTAAGTTTTGGATTTATTTTACTTTTCTTTAAATCATGGTAAATTATTCTCAAATTTGATTTGTAGTGAAATATTTTGGTTCATTTGGAGACATATAGCTTTAAATCTGCATTGCTAGTCTGTTTCTTCGGATATTCAGTATAACCTATATTATAATATCTGTACCAGGAATTATGTTGTCTGTTGAAGTATCGTATTGGTAAGCATACAATTAATTATAGAGCGTGTTAAAGGAACGTCAGAGAGAATATACTCATCTAAGAGAATGTCGTCAGTCATATGACATGTAAATGTAATAAGGACAGCTCTGAATCGTAATTTGTTGGTTCATTTGTCTATGTAAGAATACGCTTATTTCGATCACATACAAGAGAAATTAAGTTACTTGTAATACAGTATCAAAGTTTGAAGGACAATAATTTTATATTATTCTAAAATTATTCCGCGTTCATCCTAATTAAGAAAAAATCTAGACCCGTACGTTCAACTAGGGAAATAACTTTATCATGGTCTTATAAATGACAAAAGTATTACAATTTTTTATATGAGCCGCGTCATGAAAAAACCAACATAGTGCGTTTGCGACCTGCGAATACGGGCAGTCTGATCAGGATCCATGCTGTTCGCTATCAGTTTCTCTACTTGTAATAGTGTGGGTAAGCGATTAGCATGGATCCTGATCAGACTGCGCGGATGCGCAGGCTGGTCTGGATCCATGCTGGTCGCAAACGCACTATGTTGGCTTTGTCGTGACGCGGCTCATATTATGTTACTTACGCAAAGATCTAGGAATCGGCTTATCGTCGTAGAAGAATATGTTGTTAAGCAGTAAAAATGTTCGCAAGTAGGCACTATATTTTGTCGGGTCAAAAAGAATCATTATTGTGCGTATCCGAAAACTATCCGTTTGTAAAACATCCACCCGTAAGGGCTTGGAAAAAATTCGGATAAACTTTGCACATACCTTTCGACGAACGGATTTACACAAATCGAATTACAATTTTATTTTTGAGTATTATAAGTGCAGAGTTTGTACCATGGACATTAATTGGTCGTAAAATGGACATAAAATGTGATTTCCGCGTTCAATAAAATTACCGGGAGTGGTCAACAGTTGTGGAGTAAATCAATATAAAATTATGAAACTTATAATATTATAAATAGCTATTTTGCATTTTCTATAACTTGAAATAGTTAAAGAAATATATATATATATATATTATTTGGTTAATTAAAATGGATATCACCCTTTAAAATGTATAAATAGTTTTATACATGTATATAATTATATAAAATATAAAAATATGGTATTCATTTTTAATAACTAAATAATAACGCAACTAATGCCTGTTGTCTTATTAATTCCCCATCCATTATTAGATAATAAATGAATATATGAATGGATGTCGATTGACAATAATGCAACCATGGATAAAAGTAAGTTGTTGCAATTACATCTTTGCGTAAACATAATTAAATGTTCAATGGACTTTCATCTCTTTTAAAAGTGTCTCTGTTATTGAAAATAAATACAATTTTTTTTATAAAAAATAATTTTATAAGTTACTGTAATGGAATGTTAACCTTAAAATTTCATTACTGGTATAATTTTATGTCATAAACATCTTATTAATAGTAACTTCAAGTAAAATTGATTAACATGTCAAACTAATTGGAGATTTATTTTGCTCTTGGTCATTATTTCAAACAGTGCGTAACAGTCACGTGAAATTGTACGATTAAAAAAAAGGTAAACTTGAAAAAGAATTCGTACAAATGTATTATCAATCAGTTTTTTTTCTTGTCTGATATCACTTATTTCAACCAAATAAAACTTCAAAGATCTAAAGAGAATTACATAAGCAAATTGAATTTATTTTCCAGCTAAAATGTATCTTCCTTATTTTCACCAAATAATTCCGTGCTTAAATGATTATCAAAATGGTCAATTTCCTCATGGCCGATATTTTCACCGACTTAAATGTGCCTGTAAATTCTCTAATGATAAACTACATGAATCAGGTTAGGTAGACGCTTTACTTATTGATCTTTTTACATGTTTCCAAAATTTACGAGGCCTTGTAAGAGCCAATTTATTAACCCTTTCTCAGAGATACTCGTGTTCTCAAGCATTTTATTTAATAATCTGAACATCTCTGATACACGACTACTTAGACATATCAAAATGAATATAAGGGGACAAATGAAATGCCATCCGCAATTCTAAATATATCATTAAATTATATTAAATTAAGTTTTAGCTTTATTTGATAGTCTGAATATCTCTGATAAACAACTAATAAGCAATTCCAGAAGGTATCTAAGTGAAAAAATCAAATGTCATCGGCAATTCTAATATATCATATAATTGCAATATCATTAAAGTCTATAATTTTCTGTAGTAACTGAATTTATGTTCAAAAGAAGTAATTATATTGTCCTGAAATTATGGTATAAATTTTGAGATACCACTAAAATAGTAGTCTATTAAAGTTATGTGACTCTTTATTTTGTTGTTTTTGTTGTACTTAAAATAATGATTTAATTCTATTCTAAATGTAACTGTTTCGTTTTACGAGCTTTAATGTTACGGATAAAATTCCTCAGCGTCAACGAAGAAGGTAAAGGGTAATATGTTGAATAAAGATGCTAGGCAATTAAAGCGGCTAGAAGACAAATGATATTTGTGTAGCAATCACTCTTAATCAATACCAAGGGCAGATGACAAGAACTATTTAAGCCGTAAATATATATAGTTATGAACTTGGATTTTTTACCTAGTAGCCTTAGGCATTATATTAGTAGAATAAGATTATCTGCACATCCGTTACTTATACAGTCTGGTCGTTATGGTTCAAATAGGATACCAAGAAATGAACGTTTTTGTATATACTGTAGCTTACATGATATTGAAGATGAGTACCACTTTGTTTTGGTTTGCACTTGTTACAATGACCTTAGAAAGAAATATATTAAGAAATTTTACTACGTTAGACCTAGTATGTATAAATTTTTAGAATTATTAAATAGTGATAATAAGATTATTTTACGTAACCTTGCTTGTTATATACGAGAAGCATTGGCTATGAGAATATCAGTTACACAACGTTGAATTCACGGTTAATCCTCTAGATAAATAAGTATTGATTGCATAATGTCTGACTTTAAATATAGATTACATTTTGCTTTGATAATATTTGATATGTTTAGTATTAACGGAATTATAAATTAAGCAATAAAAACATATGCTTTGCTAACATTTGACTATGATATTATTATGTAATGTGACTTATCTTTAAATATATGTCACGGGTCGTTTTATTTATTATGTTAATTGTTCATTTTGCCGTGCACTGTTCGTCATTTAGTGGCGGGAAAAGTATTCTTAATGTCCGCGCATGCGTCGATTATCGTTTGTCTCCGTGGCGTCTGTTATCGTCTGCTATTGTATTGTATCGGGTGGTTCTGTAATGTACCTTTATTAGCGGAAATTCACGGAAACAGCCGAAACAATTCAACTATGTCTGTATCTCGTGCAATTTTGTGAACTGTTTTTGTAAGTCCAATCGTTTTGTACGTTGTATGAAAGAGTTTTGAGAGAAAGTTTTAGATTGGTTTTAACAT